AACATTTCTAGGGATGGGACATCCACGACCTTGCTGAGCAGCCTGTACCAGCACATCACCACTCTCTTGGTAAAGTACTTAACCATTAAAGAGACTTCCTTCCATCCATCTCTCCTAAGAACTCCCACGTGTGTAGAAATCAATCCTATTCCAGTACTACGTGGAAATCCATGGTGTTGCCTGTTTACTCATGCATAAAGAAAGGTTTGAACTACATGTACACAGCTTGTGTGCACAGGATGCAACATCCGTTAAAGGAAAAGTCGTTCAGAAGTGACAGTGATGAGAACACACCCCACTCTTACACTAATGCTAGTAAAGTCCCCCTTCCCATAAAATCTTTTTATTGTCTTCGTACAGATTTTGAGGTGCAATCAACAGCCATCTCGTACTATTGATTTCTAGCCAAACTCCCCACCAAAATCAATGAGGAGATCTGCTTAAAATCAGTAGTGCAATAAAGACCATGCAGAGCTGTTTGCAGCTTCTAATTTTTGTTTGGTTTCTACTTTGATTTAATCATACTCAATCTGGCGTTTTGATACTGGATGATAAATATCCCGTGTGTGTATAGAATTTGTAAAAAAATGAGAACAATATGGATGCAATCGTGCTAATATTGAATTTTCAAGGGGGGAAAGACATTAAGGAACTGGAATAGGTATCACTGCAGTATCACTAAGAACTGCTAACGTTTCAAATCTAAGAATGTGTTCTGGTAGCCTAGGAAAAATGTTTTTCAAGTTCACTCAAACAGCAAGTAAAAAAATTTAAGTCCAGAGAGAAACAAATGCATTTAAAAAGGGTTTTACTGCTCAGAATAAAAAATAATTTAGAAAGCATATCTCAAATTCACATGGGAATCACAGTTGATCATCCTGGAAAAAGAGGGAAATGCTGATGAATTTTCCAAATACAGGCAAAAAAAAGGTAACTGATTTTTTTCCAGAAAAAAAAAAAGTTGCTAAAAGATACAGAACATTGATATCTTTCCACAAATTTACAGAATAGAAAAAGGAGCAATGAGGTTAACAGAAGCTAAGATTCAATCTTGCAATATAGAAGTCATTGAGTACATTTGCATTTGAGAAAGGATTGTCTGTAAAGCACAAGTTTGTTAACACACATTGTTTTTCCTTCCCCAGCAGAACACTTATGAGATTGCTTTGGAGGGAGGATCAGGGTTCTGCTTTAGATTCTGAAGAAGCTATTTAAAACTTTGCAGGCTGCCTGGGAGAGACATAATAGCTATATTTCTGTACTGACCCATTCCTCCTGGATAGCTCATGACTACCGTTTCTGGAATTACTCTCCTGAGTTGACATAACTTTTCCCATGTGCAACACTACAAGATTTGAAATCTTGGTTTTGAACTCCACTCTGGTATTATGTGCAGGTAAGCCCCCATCTTGTATTCATTCAGTGTTCAGGTTGGTTATTAGGAAAAGGTTCTTTGCTAAGAGGCCTGCTCTAACATTGGAACAGCTTCCCTAAGAAAGTGGGGCACCAAGTTGCTGAGTTCAAGAAGCCTCTGGACAATGGTCTCAGGCATATGGTCTGACTTTTGGGTGGTCCTGTGTGGAACCAGAAGTTGAACACAATGATCTTTGGGAGTCCCTTGCAAGCTGGTTTATTCTATAATCCTATGATTCTATGATTTTGACTACCATAGTCTTAAAAACCATTTTGCCACCCTTTACAAAAAAGCAATATTCAACCAGTTTGCAACAGGCTCAAAGCTTAACACATCAAATAATCATCTAAAATTTTTCAAGTAATTGTAAAATACTACATAGCCAAAAATAACAGGGCCTCAGTCTCCCATCTGTAACATAGGTATAATAAAAACTTAAATGGGTATTGAAAAGATTTGTGAATTATAATAGTAACATAGTTCACGTAAGTATCTCAGAAAAGACTATGGGAAAGAATGATTAAAGAGACATATAAATTAACTGTGGTGATGTACTTAACCGACTTGCAAGAGTTCCTTCCACTGAAAAGGTGACCAGCCTGTCAATATTCTATCAATATCCTTCACACTGAGAGACACTGGTTTTAACAGCCACATAGGCTGCTCTAGTCAATCAACCCTATTCTCTTCCTACTTTTCAAAGGAATACTTTTAAACATATTTTTTTAAAATAAATTCAACCTGGACTAAACCTGAAAACATACAAGACACGGTGGAAGGCAAAACAAACTGCATGCAATAAAACTACATAGCAGGAATAGCTTAGGCTTGGAGGATGACAGATGACATATAGGGAAGATCCACCAAAGGATGCACTGCAGAAACTAACTGTACAGACACAAAATCACAGAATCATAGAACGGCTTGGGTTGGAAGGGACCTCAAGGATCATCAAGTTTCAACCCCTCTGCCACAGGCAGGGTTACCAGCTTCTAGATCAAGTACTAGATTACATTATCTAGAGCCCCATCCAATCTGGCCTTAAACACCTTCAGGGATGGGACACCCACAGTCTCTCTGGGCAATGTATTCCTGCACTTCACCACTCACTCACTAAACACTTCCCCCTGACATCCAATCTGAATCTCCCCTCCTTTAGTTTAAAATCATTTTTCCTTGTCCTACCACTATCTACCCATGTCAAAAGTTGATTTCCCTCATGTTTATAAACTCTTTCTAAACAGTGGAAGGCCACAATGAGGTCTCCCCACAGCCTTCTCTTTTCCAGGCTGAACAAGCCCAGTTCCTTCACCCTGTCTTCATAGGAGAGGGGCTCCAGCCCTTGGATCATCTCTGTGGCTCTCCTCTGGACCCTTTCCAAATAGCCATCTCCAAACCACTTATCGGATTGCAACAACTGTTCTGTCACATTTATAATCCTAAACGTGTACGAGCTGCACTAAGACTGTCTGGGATGTACAGAAGGAATGGGATGATTAAATGAAATTTGCCCTAGGAACACAGCTAAAAATATATTGAAACAACCTTTTTTTTTTTCTTTCCCACCCATTTACTTATAAAAAAAAAAAATAAATAAAAATTAGTCTTTCTTTTTCTTTTCTTTTTTGTTTTATTCTTTTGCCTTTGAAGAGATCGAGAGCTCTTGTTCTCTTTTAACCATGTCGTGTACAGATTCTGTGAGTTTTGCCCCAAGTTTTTTTCTGCTAGCCAATACCACACTCATTTGTACTGAAAACATTGCAGCTGAGACTGCACTACCTGCTGGCATATTGATTGTTTTTCACCAATTATGAGGAAATAAAAATTCCGACTCTTTCTCTGCCTTTCAAACTAGTTTTTGATTGTTTTCATTTTCCTTGTTGATATTTTACTTACGTATATAAATTAGCAGAAGTATTGGTCAAGGTATCCATAAAAGTTGTTCACCTTTACTATACATGATTTGTACAGTAATATTGGTACATTCTTCTGGTGCAGATATGACTCAATTGATGCACATATGCTTTCTGCACCCCTCTATCCCCCAGAAATCAAATACATTTTTAAAACTTAAAAGAAGTTAAGAAGTTGAACAAATTTGCCTATGATGAGTCTGTCATAGAGCTTACTTCAGAGTCCCTAAATGTCCTTTCCAACCCCAAAAGTACTATCTATTTTTGACTCAGACAAATAACCTGTGTTCTGTGTTTTTTGGTAGTGATTCTTCCTCTAATGATTGCTTTCTGGTGTAAGCAGGGGAGAAGAGGATGGGGATGAATGCATGACTCTCAGTTCTCACAGCCAGATACTGAAATGCAGCTCAGATCAACCAAAGCTGGCAAGCAACTCCATAATAAACCAGTATTACTGAATATCCAGTTCCTTGAATAAGGAATTACATTCCAAGCAGTGAATGATGTGTGACATACAGCACCAAATTCAGAAGACCATCTTTCTGTCAAAAACAAGCAACAAAAATCCTGCAATGAAAAATAGTAAACTAGTTGAATTTCTGCAATACTGCAGAGGGCCCACGTGCTTGTTTTTCTGACTGAAGTTTGTCATTTGATCTTGAAAAGGATTTATTGCTGTATCTCTGACTGGGAAAGCTAAAAACGGATGCAGAAGGAAAAGTTTTGGTGCCACAAACTAGTTAGTGGAAAAAATCTATACATGCTTGTAGAGTCTGTCCCTGGAAATAGCCAGAGATGAATAAAACCCGCACTGGAATACACATTGATTGGTGGCACAAAGACAGGCACTCAGCATGAGGATACACTGCAGCTGTTGACTGACCAGGAATGTCATAAGAATCACAGACAGGTAAAATCCTTGGAGTTGAAGGGATCTATAAATGCCACCTAGTCCAACTCCTCCCCAAAAAAAGAAGGAAGGGGACAGACTCGGGACAAGGGAAAACGGTTTCAAGCTAAAAGAGAGGAGGTTTAGATTGGATATAAGGAACTTTTTTACAATAAGGGTGGTGAGGCACTGGAACAGATTGCCCAGAAAGGCGGTGGATGCCCTATCCCTAGAGACACTCAAGGTCAGGACGGACGGGGCTCTAAGCACCTGACCTAGCTGTAGGCGTCTCTGTTCGCTGCGCGGGAGTCGGACTAGGTGACTTTTAGAGGTCCCTTCCAACCGAAATGGCTCCGTGACTCTATGAGCTCTGCCACCCAAACACTCGGCGAAGCCGAAACTCCCTCAAAAACGGCGGGCTAGAAGCACCGCTCGGCGACGTACATCAGCCCCTCCGGGTCCCCATCCCAGGCCGTCCCGCTGGGCGGGGCACTGGCACTGCCCGCCCCCGGCACTGCGGCGCGGGACCGCGGCTCCGGTGCTGTAGAGGGCGCTGTGCGGCGAGGCCCGGACCGGGCGCGCCGCTCGTGGCGGCGGCGCTGGTTAGCTGAGTTCCCGTTCCCGTCGCCGTTCCCGTCGGGCCGGGCCGGGTGGCGGCCGCGCCTCGTCCTCGCGGTCCCCTCCTCCCGTTGCCTCGCGGCGGTGGGCGCCGGCGGCGGGCAGGGCGGCGGCGCGGGGCGCGGCGGAGGCGGGCGGGGAGCGCGGCGCCGGCGCGGCGCCGCATGCGGCGCTGATGGAGCCGGGCTCGGGGCTGGCGCAGCGTAGGGCGGGGGGCGGCGGGCTGGAGCTCGGGGCGGGCTCGGCGGGGGGGTCGCCGGCTCTGTCCGGGGGGCAGGCCCGCCGCAGGAAGCAGCCGCCGCGGCCCGCCGACTTCAAGCTGCAGGTGATCATCATCGGCTCGCGAGGGGTGGGCAAGACCAGCCTGATGGAGCGCTTCACCGACGACACCTTCTGCGAGGCCTGCAAGTCCACCGTGGGTAAGGCAGCCCTCCGACCGCGCCGCGTTGTCCTTGCCGGGCTCTCGCGGTGTAAACGCGGCCCGGCCGGGCCCCCCTCCCCGTGTGCCGCCCGGGCCGTCCACTGCAGAGTTGTAATTCCTCCTGCCGTGCGCGGCGGGTGCCCGGGGTCCCGAGGCCTGTCCGTGGGGCGAGTGGTACAGCGTGGAGTTGTGAGGACAGCCCTTGTGCGCAACTTCCCAGCGCGTCGCGGGATGGGGGCGGAGGGCATAGTTTGACCCGGGTCTGGCGGGGGG